AGGAGGCTGGGAAAAAGGGAGTAGAGGACGACGACGGAAAGGAGGTCAAATGCTATCAGTGGGTAGAGCACGCACCTAAGTGGGCGGAGTTTGCCAAAAGTGTCGTAATTTGGTTCCAAGAGGTCCCAGAGACCGGTGAAAAAGGGGGTAGAGGTCGGCGAAAAGAAGGGAGCCAAATGCTATTGGTCGGCAGGGCACGCACCGAAGTAGACGGAGTTCGCCACGAGATTTATTGTCCGGGCCGAGGACCGAGAAAAATAGGATAATGGTTGACGAAGAAAGAGCGCATAGAATTTAGCGGAGAATTCAGATATTCGTATTGTATCAAGCCAAATTTGAAAATTTTCGTCGCACCATCAAAATTCGCCACAGATCTGTGTTGCGCGCGCAATGCGTGCGGCGCCAACTGGTTATTCTATAAGCGGTCTTCATTTCGTGGACGGACAGTCCGCCATACAGACCGACATCCCGACAAACGACGTACCGAAGTTATTATAGTTATATAGTGGAGTGATGTCCATGCCCAGGCAAAATGAGCACCCAGCCTACTTAAAGCAACAATCCCAGGACGAATTTGCGGGGTAAATACCGTTGATAATGTAGTTATAGGCGACAATTTGACCGATAGTGACGAAAAAACCAAAGAAAAACGCCGAACAGGGCTTTAAACAGGGACTCCCCTTCTGCCGCTTAGCGATGTGGGAAGACGCGCGTTGGACGAGTTGTCTGAACTTGCCCGCACTAAATGCGCTCCAGTTGCATAACACTAACATAATTACATAACACTATACATAACATAACAACATCACAACAACAAAAAAAGAAACAATTCCAGTGCAACAGGCAGGATCACATTGATTACTTTAAAGGACAGAGTTCAAATACTCCCTGTGGTCCCAAAACGAGCGCGAATGCCTCCGTAGCCAATCACGACTGGCAAGTGGGCGGACCCTGATGGGACTGTTGCTTTAAGGACACATAAAATTTAAGCGATTTCCCTAACTAATGCTACGAGCGCAGGATAGAAACAGAATAAAGATAAAACGCACTCGTAAGTGGACAATCTACTTTCGACTTCGCCACACATTGTAAATACTTTCATTCAGAAAACGCGGTATTCGAATAAAATTTCGCCCATCCAATGCCTTGCGCGGGCCAGCTGAAGTGCAAGTTACCGTTTTCATTTCCCGGAGAAGTGTGATACCGATTCATAGAAGCTAAAGAGATAGAAGTCTAGGTAGAGCTGGATGGCGTGCGATGCGAGATTTGGTGCGAATTGTTGACGTGGTAGGCGGTGCCGCTTGTCATTGCATCACTTTCAACCAGTTCATAAAATTAATAAGGAGTCGTATGCTACCGTTCCTCTAGGCACGTCATCCTCCTCTAATGCTATCCAAGGCTGAGAGGGACAGGTTTGCGCCGTGAGACCACCGACACCTTCGCTTTTCTATCTTCCCGACAGTTAGAACAGTGCGACTCGGAGAACAGAAAGCTTAAACAGAGGATCGCTACAGCAGTTGATAGCGAGTCTCACAGCAAAAGCCTGTTTCCCCTCCCCTAAGTTGAGGAAGGCTAGCATCGGAGGAGAGTACGGGTTGCATATGGTCCAAAGAGCGCGACATTCAAGCGTACACAATGCACCTTAAAGCTAGTGAGTATTAATCGAAAATTTAAAGCAACAGCACTGACCTCCTCGCTATAACCTTCATCCACTGGCTCGTCTTTGATAACACATGGCGACTCTCGTTTCGCCTTCCTTCTACGGTCACAGAGTCCGGAGGGGCTCTGCTTACGGAGAGAACTCCTTCGTTTCCAGTGAGCGGAAGAAACTTTGTTGCGGATTCGTCTTTCACACTGAAACTCTCACCGTTATTTTAAAAATTACATCGATTCTAAATAATGGACTTCTTACTGCTCCCAGCTTCCGCCTCTTGACTCCACCTGAGCAGCGTTTCTCATGTTTTTGTAGGTAAATTAAACGACGGAAAGCTGAAAAGTTCAATATAGAAGCTCTACTGGGCATTATTTGAATAAATACATTTTATAATATAATGTCTTGATTCTTCTCAGTTAGCTCTGCCAAAAAAAGGAAAACAGCGTTGTCCTTCAGGGGTAATGGGAGCTCAATGTAACGGAGGACTTTTTGTGTGTGGTGAATGGGCAGTCCCGCAGCCATGAATAACATATAAGCTTCTCACAACAACGGTACACAATCATAACGCTTATCACGGGTGCATAAAGGAAGGATAGGAACGAGGAACGCTGAGGGAGAGAAAGTTCTGGACCTGCACAACCCATCACCCGTTCTGGCAGTCTGCAGCACGTTCTTCGCGAAAAGGGAAGACTCAGAAGGTAACCTACAGCAGTGGAGGGAGACAGACGGAAATCGACCATGTGCTGGTAAGAAGATCACCCTCAAAACTGTGAAGGATATCAAGGTACTACCTGGCGAAGAACTGGCTCCCAGCACAGGCCCCTCCTGGCAGACATTGCCATAGACCTCCCCAAGAAGACAAGGGTAAGAACCGAGAGGAGAATCCGGTGGTGGAAGTTGCACCGAGCGGGGAAAGCGGCCTCAAACGAAGGTTACGGGTAGGTTTCCTGAAAGGTCAATACAGCGGACTTGGATCAACGCGGCTGAGATTATCCTTCGATGCGCCAAGGAGGTACTGGGCGAGACGCGAGGTGGATTCAGAGGAGACAAGGCAGCGTGGTTCTGGAACGAGGAGGTCCAGCGAGTCGTGAAGCAGAAGAAGGAAGCATACAAGCGCTGGCAGAAGACCCGGAGCCCGTAAAGACCTCGCTGCCTACAAGAATTGCAAGAGGCTTGCTAAGGCTGCCGTCGCCTAAGCAAAGAACATTGGATGTACGCCTTGCACAAAAAGTTGAAAAGCAGAAAGCGGCAGCTTCTCAGGATATCAGTGGTGAAGAGTGTGATGAGCAGCAACCGCACCATCCTAAGGAAGTCAGCCGAAGTCAAAGAGAAGTGTGAAGAATACTACAGTGTACTTTCAAGCGCGACTTTCTTCACAGGATAACATAAGTATACGTATGGCCCATCTCACAGTGCAGAGAAGATGAGGATCGTCTAGAGATGTAGCAAACATGAAGGCTGGTCCAGAGGGGTGCCAATCGAGGCATGGAAGGCGCTCGGTAGAGTACGGGATAAGATGGCTCACAACAAGCGTAACTGCGGAAGGAAGGATGCCTGATGCCTGGAGAACAAGTACTATCGTCCCCATCCCAAACACAGGAGTGACGCAATGACTGCAGCGGGATAAGTTGGCTGCGCGTATGCGAGCGGCTGGTCGACAAGCTGCGGGAGCTGGTCCCGATCTCCCAGGAACAGTTCGGGTTCATGCCCGAAAGGATCTACAACGGATGCCATCTTCATCGCAAGGCAAGTGATGGAGAAGTATCGAGAAAAGCGCCGACCCTGCTACCTAGCCTTCCTCGACCTGGAGAAGGCGTTCGACCGGCTACCGCGAGCAGTGCTATGGAGAGGCGCTAAGGGAGAGGAACGTGCCAGATTACCTGATCCCTGTAGTGAGAGACATATACGAAAGAGCCAAAACAGCTTTACGTACCCCGCACGGCTAACTTAGGTACACCACGGCAGAGGTCCTTTCTGTTCCTTTTCGCACGCGATGGCAGCGAGTGTTGGCCCTTGAACGAGGATCACGAACGATTCATTCGGCTGAAATGGGCCTGCGGCTGGACGCGACTGGACAGGGTCAGAAACGAGGATGTCAGAGCGGTCATGCAGACTGCCCCTGTCCAGCTGAAGGTGCGGAGCAGCGTCTGCGATGGTATGGGCATGTGCTAAGGAGGCCACAGGATCATCCGATAAAGAAAGCGATGGACTTCGAAGCGCAAGGCAAGCGACCGCGAGGAGCCCCAAAGAAGAGGTGGAGAGACGTGATCAAGAAGGATCTAAGTGAAGTCATGGCCACAGCAGAAGATGCCCTGGACAGAGCAAAGTGGCGACGACTGACAAAGACAGCGGACCCTGCGACTGCGCGGGACTAATGCTAGGGAGAAGAAGACCTTCATAACGCTCCTAATCCGAAAAAAAAATGAAAGTAAACGAGTAACAGTAGTGCTGGCTAACTGCATATAGCTGTCCAACTCACAGTTATTGCATTTGGCACATATGAACTCGCACTGAGTTGAATGAGTCAACTCATGAACTTTCAGATCGTTCTTGCGAACAAATGTCCTTTCACAAAATAGACAAGCGAATGGCCTGTCAAGTGTATGTACAGAAGCGGATATGAGCAGCTAAAGCCTGAATTGTAAAACTGTATATTACTACAAAAAAGACTAGTACAAAGTTTTCCGAAAGATTAAATACATAAATGATGCAGTGGCAGAATGGTGTAAATCCAGGATGCTCATCCAAAGTTGCGTACTTTAGTGCATTTATATCCGGGATGACTACACCCTTCGTAAGGACATGCATGCTTCTTTTGCTGATGCACCATCATATCATGACGTCGCAGTCCTCCTGCACGACCGAATTCCATGCCGCAATGCTCACACTTGAATGGTCGACGGTTCCTGAATCAACTTTGGTGAGTTTCTTCTACCTAGAACGACAGACACTGATCTAGCATAACTGTGTACCTAACATGCGTGAGCACGCGTTCACATGATCCACTAAAACAGATGCGTTTACATACATAGCTCTGGTGCATTTAGGCTGACGTCAGACATTGCAAACCCAAGAATTTACTGCATCCGAGGGGTGCGACTGATGCGCCAACGTTTTGAACGATGCAACAGCGAATTTAGTCGCTAATTCGCTAGCATATCGCTCGTACCCTTCAAATGGCTAGCAAAACTCCCAACCGAGCTACGGAAAAGCTCACTGACAAAAAACGAGAATAACATCACACTCTCCATAAAAACAATGAGAAAGCGAAGAATGTACACCACAAAGATTGAAGAACATAGGAAAACGAGAAAACAGATGTGCCACACAACAAAAAGAGCATTTCAAACGACGTACTCATGGACAACATCAATGTGTTCCCTCAGCTGACTGTGTGCATTGTATACCTAGAAGAACTGAAAAAAGAACGGCTGCCTCAGAGTATACAACGGCTGGTACCTTGTTGCAGTGCTGGCAGACGAACACAGTTGGTGCAGCTCTTTCTCCATGCAAACGTACTTCATGCCTTTGAGCTTTTTCTAGGGTTTTGAATATCTGAAGAGCATGCAAAAAATGAGCTACTGACCGTTCCTGTTCTGTAGGTGAAAGATCACCGTCATTCTGAAATAACCGATGGAAAATTTATGTGCTGTTCTCTAGCAACAAAGAGATCTGCTTCGAGGTCACTTCGTTTTTAACAACACTTACTTGATAGAATAAGCGGTAAAAGTCGTTATAACTAAACCATTCATCCATCCATGCTTCCATGACCAAACATGGTCATCGTTTTGAATAGTTGATTTCCATTTCACTCTCGAGAACTGGCCTCTCCTCCGCCCCTCCCCTCTCGGCACTGGGTCTTATGATTAGTCAAGGTCTTCACAGTGAGGCTTCGCAAAATAATATATCGGCTTTCTCTCGACTTTTCCTTTCAATGCCTAACCAAATACAACAAAGTGCCTCATACAGGAAGAGGTGTGCTGGACACGGAAGACAGGTTCATTATACATGAAGGCTCACCATACCCCAGTGAGATAGAGCGAGTATGTTTCCGGGCAACCACCTGAACCTCTTTCCCTAAAAGTTTTACGAATTCTGCTGCGTTCTTTTTCCACTTCTGAGGTCAACACCTCGTACATCAGATGCTAGCAAAACAGGATATACTGCATGGCAGGGAGTATTATCCCAATCTTGAACATCACTACCATCATGTTTGAGATATAACACACGAATAGTAAGGGGACTTATTAGGCCAATTAATACTGTTCTTGACTAGGTGATAAATGATGAAAAAGGTTGACTCAACCACAAGTGCAAGAGAGCATATGTTCTATCTTTTCCCACTACAACCACTAACTGTTTCAAACACTAATTTCTTTGATGTTCATCCAGATTATGAACTTTATACTACGAAACATACCCCCCCCCCCCTGTTTTCTCACATATCTGTGACTGACCAATGTTTTTTTTTATGATTATATGTGGAATCATGCATGCAACAATGAAAAGTGAAGCAACAGGAAATAACAGAAGTGCAGACAGGGATAATGCAGAATAACTGCAACATCTCATCAAGGTATCGGAACTTCTGTTCAGAGATGTAAGATCTATATGCAAAAAAAACTAGATGGAGACAGATATTCACACATGATCCGAAATCATCTATCACTTCAAATATTAATTTGTAATGAAAGTCCAATACACACCTTATTACACTTTGTACACTGGAATCGTTTCGAGGCAACACGCATCGGTTTTTTCTTGGCTCCATCTGGATGGTGGTACTGAACACACACACACACTCAATCGAACAAAGAACATGTTAATAATTCAACACACTGATGACAGTCATTATGCATGTATCGCAGCAGCTTTTTATGTTCTCTACAAGGAGCTTTGACGCCTCGAATAATTTTATCACAAGTATTGAGCATAGTGCTTTCTTAATCCATTAAAATGTGGGGAGGGTTTTAAACGTAAAAAACCCAAACAAATAAGAACAACCAGTCGGCTGCATGCGAAAATGTAACATGCAACGCTGTCATTAGTGTGTTAGGACAAAACTTCCACGAAAGGCATATGAGTCGCACGATAAAAAAAATGTACCTGAAAGAAATGCTGTTGAACATTCTGCTTCATAGTGAAGGAGCGATCACACTCATCGCAAATAAACTTCTTTGCACGAAATCGTTGAAATCTGAATCGCAGAAAACTAATCCTTCCTTTGTGAACAAAAAGCAATTTCCCAACTATTTGATCGAGGCTCCACAATTTTCGGTGATTCCGGATTTACTGGATCTGGTTTTTGGGAATGTCGGTCGTTAACAAAAATTTCCTAAGTTCTGCATTGTCAACAAGAAATCTACAGAAGAACATTCATTGAAGACACCTACCTTTATAAAATGAATTCCATCCACGTTTGCAGGACTATCCGCGAACACGTCTTCCCACATATCTGGTATGATTAAGTACAGAAGGAAAACATGGTTCGATGAATGAAGGGTCGAAGTTATGCTCCCACGTCCAATTCGGCCCGTATGCGAGCTGGAAATGATCGGATGTGGTTCAGTGGATGATGTCAGACTTTGCGATTGGAGCGATTGTGCACAAATTGCAGGGGATTTACACGGCCGACCAACGATAATTCGGCGCCATCAGCTCGTAAATGTCCCGTCGCTCGCAGCGATGGATCGCTCAAGCGATCCGTCGCTCCTGCAATTTGTGCACAATCGCTCCAATCGCAAAGTCTGACATCGGCCACTAGGACAGAAAGCGAATTTTCCGCTTTACGCAGCGCGGAACATTTTTCGCACGGGAACCTCAAGTCCACCGCTGATCGTGAGCTGGGGTTTTCGCCGCGGAAAAGGCTTAGCGAGAAAACGGAAGATTCGCTTTCTGTCCTAGTGAATCACACCCAAAATGACCACACCTGTGTTAACTACATGCATATCGAATCATTGCTAAAATTTTCCTCTATGTCAACTATGCAAAAACACCTCGTGGAACTGAATACAAAGAATCGAATGCCTGCATGAAATAAAGTGGTGCCCAAAACTTAAGGACGAATGTAGCTTTTGCATGATATTTCACTGCTGACAGTGAGTAGCATAGCTCCATGAATTTTGTTACATATATAGAAAGATTTGCTGCATATATAGATCCATGTATAGTACGGAGGGATAGTGACAGAAACACGCAATTGGACGAACAGAAGCACACTTCTTCAAAGATAATGGTTACACCGCACATCACCTTCAGAAGACAGGACATGGTTCCTTGTAAATGTTGAACACTATGAGCTGGATAACTCATACTCAACGTCCTGCAATAACTTCTCTGAACGCATTCTGCACGTGTGCGATAAAGATTTTATTCGAGGGAAGGGCTAGGCTAGACCAGTCCCTGAATATCCTCGCATTCGAGAGAATCTCACTTGGTCTATTTGCTGCGGTCGCGCGTTGTTATTCATTCAAGTGAAGATGGAGCCTGATGTGCCTAAATAGGGGCGCTTTGGAAATAACAGCATCAACAGAAATGTGACGAAGAGTAGCATCACTTCGGATTAGTTTTGAGTCGATACCGCCCTTGCAAACATTCAGATTTGATGTCAGACTTTTGCGAAATTCCGCGACGATTTCCTATCTAGCGACTCCGCACGACTTTCGCTAAGTGTCCGTCCTGCGGTCGCATGTCGCGATAACCAGCCATATTGAGTGATTCACTGGCCGCGACGCGACCGCAGGCGCTAGCGATTCCCGTGATTCGCAAAGTCTGACATCGACCTTATGCCTCCTTACATCGTAAAACACATAAGACCACCGCACAAAATCATGCCCCATAAACGGCCCTCTGCTGATCTAATTTCCCACTTCTCGGTCTAACAGATTGAAAAGGTTCTCGCCGCTGCGCGAGTGTGGTTAGCCTTGTGGAGGGAGAACATCCCCATGCGTTTAACATTCTAGCTTGCCTTACGATTTTGTTGCATGTGGTCGCAGTTGCAACCAGTGACAAATATGAATCGATTTTGGCCTGTTGCAAAACATAGCGATCATCCGTTGCGTACAGTGTGATCATGGTTTGCCCGTCTGGGGAGAAAGGTTGGTTCAAAACTTAGCATTCTCGTGAAACTAGTCACAAATTTTGAACGAGCCACATGGAGCGAGATGAGCCTCGAATACTAGCTACCGTTATAACAAGGATGGCGGTTACGAAGAACAAAGAATATTATGCTCGCAAAGATAATCCGCGAGAATCCGTGAAACTTCACAAAGGCATTCCGTGAAAAGTCGGAAAGGTATGGCGCATCTCAATTACCCTTAGGCCCCGTTCATACACCGCGGTATTGACGAAAAAACGATATAGCGCTGAAGGCAAAATAGCGACTTAGCGAAGTGCGCACGCGCCGCAACGCTTTTAACGGTTTGCCGCCCGATGAGTACTGTTTTTGTCACTTATTCAATATGTATCCAATCTTCACTGGAAAATCGCCAAACGATGTACTCGCCAAATTCAATCGCATAATCGCATAATCGCATCTGCGCTCGTTGAACGGAGCCACCTCAATCGATTCGCATCTGTCCCTTTCAGCATTATAGCTAAATCGCTATATCGTTTCATCGCATAATCGCTTTGTCGTCTACTCGTGGCATCGATGAACGCTTATTGGGCGGAGCCTTTTTAGTCGATACGCACCCACAACGTTCAGCATTATCGCGAAATCGTCAAACCGCATAATCGCATTGCCGCTTTTTTTCCAGATCGATACCTATGCTTTACTTTCAGCATTAGAGCCAAATCGCATTAACCGCGGTGTATGAACGGGGCCTTATATCGGAGTAGGTCAGCACAGCTGCACAGCAGTGCATAGTAAGAGCAAATCCAGCCAACGACGTCGGTTTAATAAACATAGCAAGGAAGGAGATTTAACGACAGCTAATCCGCAGTCGACTTTACTGCACTCTTACTCACACTATCCTGTACTAGGCATCTCAAGACCATCAGCACCATTAAAGTTCCGGAACTTTCCATGGCTCTACTTCTCTATTGCAACGTAACACCGGAAAGCAAGCCAACTGTTTGCTAGTACAGGTATTTGATGTAAAAATAATAAATTTAATAGAAATGATTGTACTAGGCTGACTTGATAGGAAGCATGTATCTGAAACGACTCTCATAAAAACTGTATAAAATCGAGTCAAATGAAGCTGGAGTTTCGAGATAATTTATTAGTCTGACAAGTTTCCAGTGTTATGCGGTTCACAATGCGTTGGCTACTTACCTCGGAAGGTCCAAGAGGAGCGCTTTCTCCTACACGCCTGCATTCCGTGACTTGTTTGCAGCCGCAGTTTTCTGAATGATTGTCACAGTAGGCATGAGCTATAATGTTCCTTTGCTAGCTATAGTTCACTGTACTGCACAGCCGAGCCCGTATTACTATCTACAGAACACAACATATTTTTAAAACTGTCCCAACCTTTCTTCGTGCGCAATGGCGTGAGTTGGAGTCGGGAGGATTTTTTCACAATTCACAGAGAGCTCATCGCCCACAGATATATTTGTAAAGAGGACTAATGAGAGAACTGAAGAGGTAGCTCTTCCTGGAGGTTTTTATAACACACCCACAAACAAGCTTTTGATGTTTTCCGATTTTTCAACAGCCAAAACATACCTCAATCACGAGTAGATAAAATGCTAATCGGAAAAGATCACAGAACTCATGATTGAAGGAGAGATCATCCAGGGAATTTGGAACCGAATGTGTAATTATAGCGCCAGCTAGGCCACAAATGTCGGACCAGCTACATGTTCACCAATGACAGCTAGCTGTGACATCTGAATTTCCAATCTCACTGGCCGATGTCAGACTTTGCGATTGGAGCGACGGATCGCTTGAGCGATGCGAGCGACGGGAGATTTACACCGCCGACCACCGATAATTCGGCGCCACGCAAAGTCTGACATCGGCCACTGACATTGTTCAAAAAACATGAGCATGAGCATTCGCGAAGGAGCAACGTGATGAACTTGAAGCTGCTTGAAAGACTCGGAATAGTATTATGTGGCCGGAAAAGTCTTTGGCCATTTGTCGATTTTTTTCTAATTCACTTTTCTTCTTTAGCACAGTGAGCAATTTACAAATATATGCCCCACCATAATCGCCAACATATTGCCTTTTAGCAGGTAACTCGTGGATGCCGTTTGTCTGGAAATACTGAGCTTTTGAAGCAAAAACCTTGAAGAAGTCCTTTTCGAGTAGGTCCGGATCATTGAGCTCTCCCTCTTTTGGTTGATTTGACAGCAACGGAAGCAGATGGACGTCTGTTAGTGCCGGGTTTGCTGAACGCAACAGGTGGGAGAGCGTCCTCATAACGGGCTTGGAGACTTTTGCTGAACCTTCTTCCAAATTCGTTGACAAGCGTTGCCTGGATAAACTTTTCCATGTTTTTAAAGCATAGTGCCGGCGACCCATCCATTTGCCCATATTATGGTTCAACAATAGCAGTGCAGTTCTTTGGTAGGAGCTGTCAGTGAACGAATCGCTTGGAGCTTCACCAATTCTTAAAGTTACCTCCCAGGTTGCAGTGCTGGAATCGGCGCTGGAATCCTTGACTACGCGTCTGGGCCACTGGCGCTTCCGACTGCAGTTTGACGATCCCACTTCTGATTACCACCAACAAAGTGGTCGAGTCAAACGCGAGACAGAAGGTGAATCAAAATGTCAAAATTGAAGCAATGTGACGGCGGTTGTCACCCTTATCACAAATCTCCTTTTGCCATAATTTCTCTTCTTTTTGAGAAGATATTGAGGAACGGCTATTGTGTTCTGATAACTTTGAAAAAGCTGCGTCAGTTTCCGTGCATTGCTCCGGAGACTGTTTCCAAACAGCTCCAGAAGACACTCGTCATTCAGTGGAACAAGCCAACCGAATTTGTGCATTTTTCTCGAGTTTCTGGACTCGGCAACCAAATGTTTACCATGCTGTAAAGACACTCTGAGTTCCATCGCAAGGACGTGAGCACTTGCCGCATCGCTTCCACTGACGCGTTTTCTGGGTTTTAGAAATGGTTTTAGA